GTCTGGGGGTGCTGCTGAGGCAGCTGGTGCTGACGGTCCTACTGGAGTTGGTGCTGCTGGAGTTGGAGCTGCTGGGGGTGTTGGCGGTGGTGTTTCTACTGGTGCTGGTGCGTCTGGGGGTACTGTTGAGGCAGCTGGTGTTGCCGGTCCTACTGGAGTTGGTGTTGCTGGAGCTGGAGCTGCTGGGGGTGTTGGCGCTGGCGGTGCTGCTGCCGCTGGTGCTTTTGAGGGTACTAGAGTTGGCGCTGTTGGAGCTGGAGGTTCTGCTGGCGCTGGTGATGTTGCTCGGGGTACTGGTGCCGTCCTTACTGGTTCTGGAGGCGCTGAGCGGCCGAGGCCGTACTTCGTTCTGCTTCTGGAGCAGGTTCTTGCCGTCTGGTGTCTTGACCCTCTTTGTACTGTTCCATATCTATATCACTGCTCTTGCTTGTTTAGTCTTATGTATATATATATATATGTACTCCTGCATGTGAACTGGCCTTGTGGCCTTGAACTTGTGCTTGGATTATGTGGTGACGTTGTGATCCACCCTGAGCTTGCTTTGCTTTACTTGACTGGTCTTGTGACCCCTTGTTCTCCCCCACTTCGCCTATGGGGGTGTGTCAAACATTATATCTAATGTTGTAGTTGTTTAGGCTGCAGTGGGTTAGCCTATAGGGGGTACACACTTCTAGGTTTCCACATTTGTACTCATTCGTTCTTAGTCATTTCATTCCTCGTTCAACAGCTGCTGCTTTTGGTGCTAGTGAGTCTGCTGCCCTAGGTGATGGTGAGTCTGCTCTCTCTGGTACTACGTCTTCTGCGGCCCTGCACACCTTCACGCTTGACTCAGGTGCTTCCCGCTGTTTTTTCGCGACAGTACCACAGTCACACCACTTACTGCACCAGTTGCTATGTCTTTGGCTGACCCCTTTGGGGGCCCAGACCTTGCACGTTCCTCCACTGTTCTGCCCTGTCCGGCGGTTTCGTCTGGGTCACTGTCTGGTCTCCACCTCCCCTCGTTCAATACGAACCTTGTGAGCATTGCTGTCCTCTAGGATGCGGGGGTTGACACCCTCACCCCTAGATGGCAGCGTGTGGCGATCTGTACGTGCTCCCGGACGGGTCGCCACCTGGCCACGTTCACCCGTCGGCCTGGGTTGAGTCTGTACACAATGAATACTACGCCTCCTCAGGTAGTTGCGTCTGTGTCTGCGTCAGGTCAGCTTGCTGCCCCCTGCTCGTGTCGCGCCCTATCGCACCAGACGCTACTTTGGCACCACCGTCTTGGTCACCCCTCTATGGCACGCCTTCGTGTCATGCACTCCCGTCTCCTTGTCTCTGGTCTTCCCAGGTCTCTGCCTTAGTTGCTGAGCAGGTCCCTACTCCTCTCAGTGCCAGTCAGCCATGGACGCAGAGATGGCATCCTGGAAGTCCACAGGCACTTACGAGATTCCCCCTCCTGGGGCGAACATTGTCAGTGGCATGTGGATTTTCAGGGTGAAGCGGCCGGGCTCTCCATCTATCTTCAAGGCGCGTTACGTTGCTCGAGGCTTCGGTCAGCGACATGGAGTTGACTTCTTCCAGACCTTCTCCCCGACCCCGAACTTGACCACTCTTCGTGTTCTGCTGCACGTTGCTCCTCAGCGTGACTACGAGCTTCACTCTCTTGACTTTAGCAATACTTTCCTACAGGGCAGCCTGCACGAGGAGATCTGGCTGCGCCGCCCACCTGGCTTCACTGGGTCGTTTCCCCCTGGTACCCAGTGGAGCCTCCGGCGGCCAGTCTACGGTCTCCGCCAGGCGCCTCGCGAGTGGCACGACACACTGAGGACGACTCTTGCGGCACTTGGCTTTGCTCCCTCTAATGCTGACCCGTCGCTGTTTCTACGCACTGACACTTCTCTGCCGCCGTTTGACATCCTCGTGTACGTCGACGACTTGGTTTTTGCCACTGCTGACACTAAGGCACTGACTCTAGTGAAGTCGGCGCTGTAGAAGAGACACACGTGCACAGACCTGGGTGAGCTGCGCAGCTATCTTGGCTTGCAGATCACCCGGGACAGAGCAAACCGCACCATTATCTTCACTCAGTCACACATGGTGCAGCAGGTCCTTCAGCGCTTCGACTTCCAGTACTCCTCGCCACAGGCCACTCCTCTGCCTGCCGGTCACTCGCTCTTAGCTCTACCTTCGGATGAGTCCGTAGAGCCGAGTGGCCCGTATCCAGAGCTTGTGGGCTGCCTCATGTGTCTGATGACCTGCACTCGACCTGACCTCGCTTACCCTCTTAGCATCCTTGCACGCTACGTTGCGCCCGGGAGACACTGACCAGAGCACTGGAAGGCCGCGAAGAGGGTGATGCGCTACTTATGCAGTACGTCGAGCATGTGGCTCATGCTTGGAGGATGGAGTCGAGTTGTTCTCACTGGTCACGCAGACGCTTCTTGGGTTGACGACTTGGCTACGCAGCGGTCGTCACAGGGTTACATCTTCAGCCTTGGCTCCGGTTCTGTTTCGTGGCGATCTACCTGCTCGTCTTCTGTTCTCGGCTCCAGCTGTGAGGCTGAGATCTACGCAGGGGCCATGGCTGCACAGGAGTTACATTGGCTCACCTATCTACTGATTGACTTGGGAGAGCCGCCTCGTTCTCCTCCAGTTCTGTACGTCGACAACAAGGCCATGATTGCCTTGTGTAAGGAGCACAGATTGGAGCACAGAACGAAGCACATAGCTCTGCGCTACTTCCTTGCTCGAGAGTTGCAGCAGCGTGGTCAGCTTCGTCTTGCTTACGTGGCCTCTCAAGCCAACACTGCTGATATCTTCACCAAGGCACTTCCGCCTTGTGATTATCAGCGTTTCTGTATTGTTCTAGGCCTTGTGCCTACTTGGCCGCACTTGCTCACTTCTTGACTTTGCTTGTACTGTGATCTATATACTTGTACCTGCATGCTTACACTTGCTAGGGTGTGATCACTGTACTACTTGTTCTCCTTTATATATAACTCTGCTTGTGAACTGGCCTTGTGGCCATTTGCTTGTGCTCTAAATGTGTGGTGACTTCGTGATCCACCCTGAGCTTTCTTTGCTTTTCTTGACTGGTCTTGTGACCTCTTGTTCTCCCCCACTTTGCCTATGGGGGTTGTGTCAAACTATGAGTTGCTTGTTGTGTATGCTATAGTGGGATAGCCCATATGGGGTACAACCCAAATTAGGGTTTGCTACTTGGACCCATCCTGGTGCTAGTTGATTCATCCTTGTTCATTATTATGACAGGTTAGAATTGCATTCTGCAGGCGTATCAGCTCTGTTTTCGCCCTAGGCTCGGCCTGATCCGCACATTGACAAATTGAGGTTCGGGAATGAGGAGTTTGAAATGGAAAAATAGAGGTTCAGAAAATGGAGATTGAGGTTCGGAAATCGGAAATTGGAGATTTCGAATTTCGGGCATGTCAAATCTCGATCTCAAATTTCCGAGGAATTGCAGGGTGCTGAAGGTTCTTCGAAGTTGGGAAGCACGCATCTGACGCCTTCCTTACACGCATGATGCGCTGTTCAATTGCCCAATTCGAGCTGATGCGCGCATCATGCATCTTCTCGGCATTGCATCATGCGTGCATCAAGGATGTGTCAGATTGCTTGGACGATAAATTTCTCGGAAAGCGGCGATATGTAAATTTGTGGTTGCCAAAAAGACCGTTCTGCAGGCATTCGGGCTTGGCTTGCCTCGGCAGCCATGCGCTTATCGTGAGCCTTGATATCCTTTCGGCTGGTTATCAAGGTCTTCTGGAAAATCTACTTTTTTTTGCTATGTACATTGATGCGGGCTAATGCGCCCACAGAACGCAGCCAAGGCCTAGGTGAGTCCTAGACCCTCCCCCGACATTGATTGATGCGTCCTTGAGTGATTCTAAGGAAAAAGTGTAGAAGTTGTGATTCGAAATTCGTCGTTTGTAAAAGCGGGGATTGCGTGGATTGCGTATCCAATCAAAGCGCAATGTGGTTCTTCGATGCTCGCCAAGGTGTCACTCCTGCACCCGAGGGGAAACCTCGCATCCACAACCAGCAGCTGGACCACACGAGGCTTGTAGGGCGTGAACAGTGCTGGCCGAGAGGCCCGGTCGCACACGAACTGGGATGTCCAAAACAGCAGTGTTTCGGACGTCCAGCTTCGTGTCAGCCACGCTGACCTGGAGTCTGATACACGAAACGCCCAAGTCCCTCTCGGCTCGCCATCGACCTTTTTCTCCGCGGCCAAATCTGGGACTCACATGAGGAACACCGTTGCAACCACGCAGTGCAAGATCGGGGCCCAAGGTCGCCCGAGAACACCATCCCCCCCCCACCCCACACTCTTTCTCACCACGCCTTGACTGCCATGCCGTGATGTGACCAGGAATAGCGCCAGCCGGTTGCGTTGTGCACTCCGACCAGGATCGTCTACGACGCATCGGCTCGCCTGGATTCAGACGACACTGTGCGATGAGTTAGTTATCTAAGAACTGCGAGCATGTAGCGATCCGGATGAACGTTGCTTCCTGTGCGACTGGCAAGTAGTGCAATTGCTGCTGTGCATCGAGTTCTCCGAAACATCATCAAGACTGTGCTGTTACCTACCTGGACTAGATTCCACCAGAGGCGTCGGGGTTTTCCGCTAGTGGTCTTTATCCTTAGTCCCTGCCTCGGTCGATCAGGTCCGCAGTGTCATTCGCGCCATGGCACCTGGGGACAGCAGCCACAGGTGACGTGGGTTTTGTAGTCCACGTAAGCAGTCAAGCCTGTGCGATCATATCGCCGACAGCACTGGCAGGTTTGTTACAGTCGCGTATCCGACGGCATATCAGTGTATTTGTCGGCGTAGTATCAGTGTATTTGAACGCCGATCAGTACGCGTGACGATCTACTTATTTCCTTCCTTTTCCCTGTCGGCGCGACTGCTACTACTGCTGACGGCAGTTTCGCAGCGCCAGCTGTGGCGGTTATTAGACAGCCCTCTTAGCGTGCATCGACAGCGCGGCGGCATGGCCGGCAGTGGGGAGCACGGTGGCGGCAACCCGCGCAATCCCGCGGGCAGGGGAGAGCCAGCGGAACAGAGGCGGGCGGAAAACGGCTGCCACGCGGACGGGGAGTGCGCGCTTGGCGAGAGGGGGGAGGCAGCGGGGGCGACGGTCCAAGCGGGCAGCGCGCATGCCGATCGGCAGCGCGGAGAGGAGCCGGCGGCAGCAAGCAGCGATGCGGCAAACGGGTGGCTTGTGCTTGACGGCGAGCGGAAAGCGGCAGGGTCGAGCGGGGTCGCGGAGGCGGGTCGGCATCGCAGCAGCAGCCTTGGCGATTCCCCGCAGCAGGTAGACGACGAGTACGCGGAGCCGTATCAGTTCGCGCAGTCGCTCGTGTCGCTGTCGCACAACCCCGACTCGCCCGTCATCAGCAACTGCGCCACGTGCGGCCGCCACGGACCGCCTGGCTCGTGCGCATGTGCGCCGCTGACTCCGCTTCGACAGCGCGGCGCAGCAGCGGCGGGATCGGGCGGACGTGACTATAGCGACGTGCCGCAATTGAAGTCACGGGGTACCGCGGACGTGCAAGTGGCGCAGAGTGCGCGCATACGGGTGACAACTGCGGTGGCAGCAGGGGGCGAGGCGGTACAGGAGAGAGGCGAGAAGCGCATGGCGCAACAGCAGCAGCAGCAGCAGCGCGCGCTGAGATTCGCGTCCAGCGTGGACGTGCGGAGGATCGCCGCGGCGGGCGGCAGCAGCGACAAGCTGGCGAACGGCGCGCGCGCGGAGGGCGGGGAGAGTAGGGCGCAGCAGCAGGTGGCGCAGAAGGCGTGGGCGGAGGGGTTCGACGCGATCGAGCGCGGGCTGGTGGCGGCGGTGAAGGGGTTCGCCATCGGCGCGGGGCTGCGCGGCGGACTGTCGCTCTTCAGCCTGCTGGGGCGACTCAGACGCCGGCGCGCGCGCATTGCCTCGTGAGTGCGCCGAGCCGTGCCGGGGTAGCGCACGCGCGCAGGGTGGAACGGGGCTAGAGCGGGGAGAGGGGGTGGTACCAAGGCACGTGAGCACACGAGCACGTGGGCGCACGGGCACATGGGCGCACAGGCACGTGGGCGCACGGGCACGTGGGCGCACGGGCACGTGGGCGCACGGGCACGTAATAAACGTGGGCATGGATGTAGGTGAAGGTGCATGGCAGCGGACACTGAGGCTTCTTGTGGCTCGTGATTCCGCGAGTACGCATGCAATGCGTGCTGTCCGGTCCCACGCCCCACTCCCGCGCGCACTGCCCACTCACTTTCATAGGCCCTTCTCACCGCTGGCGCTGCCTTGCGTGCAATGCTTTCTGTTTTTTTGTGGTGCGTTGTGGTGCCTTGTATGCGGTGTGTGTGGTGCCTTATGTGCATGGCGGTACCTGCAGAGGCGACAAGGACGCAGCAGCGGCGGCGGGCGTGTGGGAGGGCGTGGTGGGAGTGGTGCGCGAGGGCGTGCGGTACGGCATGTTCGTGGGCACGTTCGCCGGCTCCTACTGCGTGCTGGACGAGGGCATTGCGGCCGTGGGCGGACACGACAAGTACGTGCATGTGCCTGTGCGCGGATGGGTATGCGCGCGTGCATGCGTGTGTGCGTGTGTGGGTGGTGGGGGTGGGATGGGAGGGGGTTTCGGTTGGGGGGGAAGAATGTGCTGGACGAGGGCATTGAGGCCGTGGGCGGACAGGAGAAGTACTTACATGTGGATGGATGCTCAAGGATGTGTGCGTGTGTATGTGTGTCTGTGTGTGTGCGTTTGGACAGGGAGCGCATGCGTGCATGCACGCACTCCTTGCCCTACATCCATCACATCAACCGCGACACACTATCACTCCCGTTCACTCCATACTCTCCGTCCCATATGCCCTTGCCTTGCCTCATCGTGTCACTCCACATGGCCCCCCTCCCCTTCGCCTCTCCATTCCACCCCTGCTTTCTCCCCGCTCGCCCGCCCTCTCCCACACAATCGCCCTGCCCGCGCACACCTGCCTGAGCAGAACGCGCAGGTGGCGGGCGCTGCTGGCAGGGGCAGCAGCAGCGCCGTCGCTCCTGCTAGCGGGGCCCAACACGCGGCACACGAGTCTGGCGCTCTACGTGCTGCTGCGCGCCGTGGTGCTGGCGGTGCGGTGCGGCATCAAGAGCCCCTCCTGGGGCTGGCTCTTCCGCCCGCTCACCTGGCGCCATGGCGACACGCTGCTCATGTGCATCTCCGCCGCCCAGATCCTGTCAGTCTCTCCCCTCTCTTCCCTCTGCCCGCCCTCCCCCCCGCCTCACGTCCCCCTGCCCTTTCTCCCCTGTCCGCCCGCTGACCTGGCGCCATGGCGACACACTGCTCATGTGCATCTCCTCCGCTTATCAGATCCTGTCAGTCCCGCCACTCCCTCCCCCTCTGCCCTCAATTCGTTCTGTCCTCACTTCCCCTGCTTTCTTTTTCCTCTGCCTTCCCTTCCCTCTACCCTCCGTCCCCCTCTGCCCTCCCTCCCCTCTACCCTCCCTCCCCTCTCCCCTCCCTCCCCTCTGCTCTCCCTCCCCTCTACCCTCCCTCCCCTCGCCTTCCCCCCCCTCCGCCTTCCCTCCCCTCCGCCTTCCCTCCCCTCCGCCCTCCCTCCCCTCTGCCCTCCCTCCCCTCTACCCTCCCTCCCCTCTACCCTCCCTCCCCTCTACCCTCCCTCCCCTCTGCCCTCCCTCCCCTCTACCCTCCCTCCCCTCTGCCCTCCCTCCTCTCTGCCCTCCCTCCCCTCTGCCCTCCCTCCCCTCTACCCTCCCTCCCCTCTACCCTCCCTCACCCTCTACCCTCCCTCCCCCTCTACCCTCCCTCCCCCTCTGCCCTCCCTCCCCTCTACCCTCCCTCCCCTCTACCCTCCCTCCCCTCTACCCTCCCTCCCCTCTGCCCTCCCTCCCCTCTACCCTCCCTCCCCTCTGCCCTCCCTCCCCTCTACCCTCCCTCACCCTCTACCCTCCCTCCCCCTCTACCCTCCCTCCCCCTCTGCCCTCCCTCCCCTCTACCCTCCCTCACCCTCTACCCTCCCTCCCCTCTGCCCTCCCTCCCCTCTACCTTCCCGCTCCCTCTACCCTCCCTCTCCCTCTGTCGTCTCTGCTGCTCTGTCCGTCCCCGTGTCTCGCTTGCGATGCTGCATGCACCAAGTGTGAATCGCTACCGTGTGCTTGGGGAATGCGTGTGCACCTTCCCAACCCTTTTCTGCTGCCCGTCACGTCTCCCGCTGCTCCCTGTCAGCACATTCGCTTACCCTACCTACAGCTGCTGCCACATGCAGTCAAGACACCCTAAGTGTCTCAGGGTGTGTTGTGTTCAACCTGAGCGTGGACTGAAGACTCACTCAACCCTAAACCCTCGCCGACACACACACTCATCCCCATCACCCCCCCTTTCCACATCCAAGCCCCCTTATACAATCCCACTCTCTCTCCCCCTCTTACCATGCAACCCCTCACCCCCCGCAGCCCCTCCCTCTTTCCCCCTCTCTCTCCCCCTCTCTCTCCGCTCCTCCCACACCCCATCCCCTCCTCTCCCTGGTGTGTCCCACTCCCCCCCAGTTCCGCGTGGTTGCTAGAGCCACACAGCCTGCCGGCCCGCCCCCCCACCCTCTCCCACTCCCTTCGTCCCATGCAACCCCTCTCCCCCGTCTCCTCCGTCTCCCCCCTATCTCCCCTCTCCCCATTGTCCCCCGTCTCCCCGGTCTCCCCCGTCTCCCCCGTCGTCCCCACCTCCCCTCCCCGTGCGTTCCACTCCCCCCAGCTCCGAGTGGATGCTGGAGCCGCATAGCCTACCAGCCAGCCTTCCCACCCTCTCCCTCTCCCTCTCCCTCTCCCTCTCCCTTTGTCTCATGCTACCCCTCTCGCCCCCCAGCTCCGCGTGGATGCTGGAGCCACACAGCCTGCCAGCAACATACGTGTCCTTCCTGAACAAGCACGGCGGCAAGCCGCCCTGCGTGTACCAGGCCATGAGCCAGATGGCTCTGCACGGACGCGTCACCCCTGCCTGCAGTGCGGACCTGGATAAGATGCTTGCGCGCAGGGGGGGGAAGGGGTGGAGGAGCGGGGGGAAGGGGGGGATGAAGCTGCCATGGACACGTGTTGTGCCGATGCATGAAGCTTCCATTCCCTGCGATGTGAGTCACATGCATGCCATGCTTGCCCTGCATGCCCTGCCCACCATGCCCACCTTGCCCACTGTGCCCGCCATACCCTCCATGCATACTATGCCCGCCATGCCCACATTCAGTCCCCACACTTCTGTTCGCTGCCTTTACTTCTCCCTCCTTGCTTCACCCTCCTTTACTGCTGCTGCTTGCGCTGCAACGCCATGCCTTGCGTTCTTGCTTTCCCGCACCGGGTGTGCACACCACACCCTCCATGTACATGATCCGATCCACACTGCTCCTTACTCCACTGTCCTTCCGCCCATTTTTGAGAATTCTCAAAAGTGACTCCCAAATTTGCTCCTTAATCCACTGCCCTTCTGCCCATTTCTTTCCAACAACGTCTTCCCTCCCCTCCTTTCCCCACTCCTCCCCTCCCCACTCTTTTCCTCCCTTCCCCTCCCCTCCCCTCCCGTCCCGTCCCCTCCCATCCCCTCCCCTCCCCTCCCCTCCCGTCTCCTCTCAACCGTCCGTGCCCCACAACCCCGCTAGTTCCTGCACCCGGGCGGGTGGTGCGGGTGGCACTTCCTCTCCTTCCTGCCAGCAGCGTACATGAGGGCTGTGCCCGTCTATGTGCCAGTCTACCTCGTCTCTGCACTGCTCGTGCACCGCTCCTCCCTCCTTCGCCAGTCAGCGCCCCCTGCCCTGCTGCTGCTTCTTGTCCCACCCTCCTGCGCACGCCTCTTTCTGTCCTACTCCCACTCGTCCCATCCCTTCTCCCTTACCTTCCCCCTTGTTCATGAGACCCTCTGGCGCAAGCATTGTTTCAATCTTTGGCTAGATAGAGAAGTAGACTGGAAAGAATGTTTCCCCAAGTGGAGCCCCATGGCTTGGCGGTCAACCCAAGTCGTGTACACGTCTAATCTCTTTTACTCTCGCTCCTCCCATGGACGCCCATTGAGACTTCAACCCCATTCCCAAATCTCCTGCTCCTTGTCCCTCCGTCTGCCCCTCCCATTTCTCCGCTCTGTGCCTCCCTGCTCTGCTCCTACACACCCCTCACACTACACTAAAACTTGGAGGCTTGCAAAACATCTGTTTGAACTCCCCTACCCCACTGCCCATCCCCCTGACCCGCTCTCCCCACCAGGCCTCTGTCCATAGCACTGCGCACGGCTCTGGGAGCAGCGCGCTCCTCGCTCTTCCTTTCCACCTACTGCGGCGCTGCCTGGTGCTGCTCCCCCTCCTCTCCTTCCCCTCCGCCCCCCTTCCCCCCCTTCCCCTCAGCCCTCCTTTCCCCAGTTCCCCTCCGCCCCCCTTCCCCCCCTTCCCTCCTCCCCTCCTCCCCTCCTGCCCGTTTTTTTCCCTCTTGCCCGTTTTTTTCCCTCCTCCCCTCCTCCCCTCCTCCCCTCCTCCCCGCTGTTTTTACAATCCTAACCACCTTGCTCCTCGTGCCTCCATCTGGCCCCCCCACCCCTGCTCGTCTGCGCATCCCTGCTTCCACGCACCACTCTCGTCTCCTGCTTCCCATTGAATTCTCTCTCCTCTGCTCCCGTCCACCCATTCCTACGAGCCCTTTCACCCATTCACCCTTTCACCCTTACGCACTTGCACGCGTTTGCCTAAAGCCCCTTCACATGCCATGCTTCCTGCTTCCTTTGCTCCTATGTCCTGCCATCACATGCCGCCCAGTTCCCCCGAGACTGCTCTATGCCATTTATTCACTGCCATCTGTGCCGCCCAATGCCTCTCATGCCGCCCAATGCTTCCCATGCCGCCCAATGCCTCCCATGCCGCCCAATGCCTCCCATGCCGCCCAATGCCTCCCATGCCGCCCAATGCCTCCCATGCCGCCCAATGCCTCCCATGCCGCCCAATGCCTCCCATGCTGCCCAATGCCTCCCATGCCGCCCAATGCCTCCCATGCCGCCCAATGCCTCCCATGCCGCCCAATGCCTCCCATGGCACCCATCCATCCTCCCAGGTTCTGGACGTGCAACATTCACCAGTTGGTTGGCAAGTGCACGCGGGCAACCATGGCTGGTGGCGCGGTGAGTGTGCCATGCATTGAAGCGGGTGGGGAAGGGGGGACAGAGGAAGGGGGAGGGGATAGTGCAACATCATGGAGCATGTTGGAGTTTGGGTGCTTTGAGAAGGGGGGGGTAGTTGAGGGTTAGAAAGGTGGCATACCACCCTACCTGCAATCCTCGCCTTAGATCTGCATCACCCAACCCTCCCCTCATCTGCGTGCTCTTCTCACACGCTTCCTTCTCATCTCCCCATCCTTCCATCCCTCTTCACCCCACACTCTCCATCCTCCCACTCACTGCCTCTCCCGGTCTCCCTCCGTCCCTCGCGGTTCCTGTGCGGGCTGGCAGTACTACTCGAGAAGAAGTCCCATCACATGGAGCTCGCACTCTACTGCTTCTTGCATGCCGTCCCATCTTCTTTCATCTGCCTTGCCTCCCTCCCACCCCTCCCCTCCCTTACACCCCCCCCTTCACAGTTCCTGTGCGGGCTGGCAGTGCTGCTCGAGAAGAAGTCGCGACGCATGGAGCTGGCGCTCTACTGCTTCTCGCGCGCCATCGAGTCCTTCTTCATCTGCCTCGCCTCCTGGGGCGTCCTCCCGCCCCTCTCCTCCCTCGCCCTCTTCCCCGCCCTCGCCAAGCGCTACCTCTCCGCCAAGCCTGCTGCGGGAGCACCTGCAGCTGCCAGAGGGGCGGGAGGTGCGGGAACAGGCAGCAGAGCAACAGCAGGAGGGTGCAGGGGGGGAGGGATCGTGAAGGAGTCGCTAAGCGGAGTTCTCCCAGTGGCGGCAGCGGTGCTGCAGCCGCACGCTCTCCTAGACGTGGCGTTACTGGCAGCAGCAGCGGGGGTGATCATGCAGTGCTACCAGAGCGAGAGGGACGTGTTCCGCTCCAAGTACCTCAACGTACTGGACTGGATCTTTGGAGTGCCCAAGGGGCAGAAGGCTGCCTCTGAGCTCTACCGCCGCCGCTCCCCTCAGGTGCACGCGCTGGAGCATGCCAAGCCGCGCTCGCTGTCGCTCCCGGCCTTCTCCCTGCCCGCTTCTGCTGCTGATGCTGCTGCTGGTGGTGTGGCTTCTGGTGCTGCTGCGGCTGCCTCTGGCGCCTCTCGTGCCTTTGCTGGGATTTTTCCGCCTGCCAACCTGCCTCGTCCTGGTGCTGCTGTTGCTGCTGGCTCTGCTCCTGGCTCTGGCAATCTGTTGGATGGTAGTGCGGCTGGTGAACGGCAGCAGCAGTGCAACGGGACTGTGAGTGCTGACGAAGTCAAGTGAATGCGCGAGGAAGGAGGAAGTCAGGCACACCAAGAGGGAGGAATGGAGGAAGTCAGGCACACCAAGAGGGAGGAATGGAGACTGGTTCAAGTGATGAGTGCAAGTTTTGAAGAAAGAATTTGAGTTATTATTCTTGGAGAGCATCTGGATCTCTGCATGAGGTTCAGTTATGCAAGTTGCAGTGTGCATTGCGTACCCCACCCTCAAGTTCAGCTCACTCCTTGCAATGCGCAACTACATGTGTTCCAGCTGTTGAGCTACCGGTAGGCTAGGATGCTAAAGGTGTAGTACCGATAATATTTTGGAGTGGTAGATCGTTACAGACGAGACGAGAGGGAGGTAGGTACAGTATCACCCCTGGCTTTTTGGAGTGACTACGATGTCTACCTAAGCTGTACATGAGGACAAAGTTGGATCTTGTAATACTGTAGCTGAACCTGAACCCCAGCCAAACACTGGAGTGATGATCCGTATGTTATCTTATGTTATGTGTAATTCTTGCCACTTGCGAGTGAAATAGGCACGAAATGTAGTGCCGCAAATATGTAACAGAACAGAGTCATCCTTCTAGTGCTACGAAACTGCTCTCTTTTTGCGGTATTTCTTGCTCTGCTGCATGCAACTAGACATCCACGCCGAGCATTACAAGAGAGCAGCATAAACAGAGAGTACAGTGGCAGTGGCAAGCACCTACAGTAGCTGCTGCAGTGCTCACACCTGGAACACCATACCTCCCCTTGGATGGACATTTCTACACAACAGTACCCTAATAACTGGAATGAACAAGGCCCATAGCATTGAGCAAGAAAGTATCTACCGTAGAAAGTAACTAGATGACTATGGACAAGCTCACCACTGCCGCAGTTTCACTCCTCTCATTCCCCACACCCCTCCTCCTCCCCCACCCGACTACCCCCCACCTATGTATACGGTACATATCATCCACACCTTCAACCTCAACACGGTTTCCGGCCGTCGTCACTCATCCCTCACCCGTTTTCACCCCTCCTCACCCACCCAGCCCCACCCCTCTCCAACCCTACATTCAGGCAGCGCCCGCAGTGGGGGTGGTAACAGAGGTGGGGAGCCCCTTGGCCTGCATGGTCTTGAGAGTGGACGCCAGCCAGTCCAGCCCCTCAAACAGCCCCTCGCCCTTGGGCGCGCTCGTGCCCTGGATGTGCCAGTAGCGGTTGCGCAGCTGCTGCAGCCCCATGATCTCACACACCTCTAGAGGCGACATGGCGCCCTTCTGCAAGAGGGAGGAGAGGGGGCAGGTGGGTAATGGAGGGGGCTTTTGAGACGTCTGACAAGCTGCAGCTGCGCAGGCCCTAAGGCCTTAGCAGTTGCGCAGCTGCTGCAGGCCCATTGTCTCACACACCTCCAGAGGCGACATGGTGCCCTTGTGCGCGAGGTAAGGTGGTGGAGGAGGGGGGGAAGGGGAGGTAGTGGTTGGATGAGGGGCATGGGGAGGGGAAGGAGGGAGGGTTGGGGGGGGAGTGGGGGGGAAGAGGAAGGGGCAGATGAGGGATGAGGTGGACGAGCGAGCGTGGCGGGTGGAGTGGGATTGGGGGGGGGATGGAGGAACCAGCGTGCATTGAGGTCGTTTTTGAGGCGCCTCAAAGAGGAACCAGCGCCAGCAGGAAGAAAAAAGACACGCAAAGCTTCAAGTGATAGCCTATGGGGACAAGGCGCTTCTAGAGTAAGACAAATGACGTGAGTCCATTAGGAGGAAGGGCGAAGGGGCGAGAACAAAAGGGGGCGGAGGAAGGGAGGGAGGGAAGAGGGAAGAGAACGGGGTTGGAGCCGAGGGAGGAGGAGCAGGGGCGAGAAAGCGGGAGAGCGAGTGGGGAGAGAGAGAGAGAGAGAGAGAGAGAGAGAGAGAGAGAGAGAGAGAGAGAGAGAGAGAGAGAGAGAGAGAGAGAGAGAGGGGGGGGGGGGGGGGGGGGGGGGCGAGCACTGACAAGGTCTTGCTTGTTGGCGAAGACGAGGAGGGCACTGTTGCGCATGAGGGGATCATTCACTATGCTCTGCACGCACGCGCCGAGAGGACCCATGGGAGGGGGCGGGAACGGAGAAGAATGGGGCGGGCAGGGGTGCGGGTGAGTGATAGAGAGAGTAGAGTGGAGTTACTGGGAGATGAAGAATTGGTAGGGACTCGGGGGGGAGAGCGGTTGGGAACGGTGGGAGAGGGCAGGGTGGGAAGAAGGTGGAGAGATGGGAGGGAAGTAGGGAGACATGATGGTGGGAGGGGAGGAAGGAGAAGAATGCATAACCCAGGGACATGTGCAGGCAAGCGTGGGCTTGGCATGGTTGGAAGTCAACGTGAGGACACACGTATGGGCTGGGCATGACTCATGAGACGTCTGTGAGTAAGAGGCGGAGAAGAGCGGAGAGAGAGGGCGGTGCAGTGGCGCAGGCAGAGGGCGGACGAGTGAGTGTGTGAGTGAGTGAAAGAGAGAGAGAGAGAGAGAGAGAGAGAGAGAGAGAGAGAGAGAGAGAGAGAGAGAGAGAGAGAGAGAGAGAGAGAGAGAGCAAGGGGTGACCTGGAACTCCTGTGCTGCTTGCCGCACTCTCTCCCTGTCCAGTGAATCCACCACGTAGATCTGAGGGGCGCACACACATGCACACATGCATGCATGCACAGACATGCGCACATGCACACATGCACAAATGCACACATGGACACATGCATGAATGCACACATGGACACATGTACACGCACACATGCATGAATGCACACATGCACACATGTACACGCACACATGCACACATGCACACGCACACAAACGAACACACAAATGCAAACAAATACAGACATGCACGTGCATGTGCACACGCACATTCCCACCATAGAAAGCACACAAATACCCATCCACGCCAATCCACAGGCCCACGCACACAGGGAGCCAGAGGTCAGAAAGCATTTTTTAGTCGACTCAAAAATAGTAGACTAAATAATAGTCGACTAAAAATATATCCACAACCCCACACATGCACACAGGGAGCCGGGGATTGGAGAGCAGCAGATGGCATGGCACAGAGGCGTGGCGCGTGCACACGCAGAAAGCAGTGCAGCAAGCACCCTGCCACACGGGCAGCGTGCAGTCCCCACCAGAGTTGGCACAGACAGATCAGCGGACACGAGCAGGCTGGGCGCGGAAAGGAGCGAGGCACGCGGGCGCGCAGCAGGCAAGCGCGCGGGCGCAGGGTAGAGAGCGCGCAGGGTAGAGAGCGCGCGGGGCAGGGCTTACAAGCGCGTCGGTGTTGTTGAAGTAGTTGCGCCACATGGGGCGCAGCTTCTCCTGGCCCCCCACGTCCCACACCGTGAACTGCACGTTCTTGTACTGCACCTTCTCCACGTTGAAGCCTGTTCACGCGCGCGCACCCCAGCACACGCAAACACCATCAAGCACATGACGGGGGGACGGGGGAGGGTGAGCTCACACGGTGAACTGCACGTTCTTGTACTGCACCTTCTCCACGTTGAATCCTGTGAGTTGGGGGGAGATCACTCACACCGCACACACCGCACACAACACACACACACGGTGAACTGCACGTTCTTGTACTGCGCCTTCTCCACGTTGAAGCCTGCCACCCGGCGCGCACCATGCCCGCAGCAAGGCACGCGCGCGCGCGCAGCGTGGGACGGGAAGAGGGGTAGGGGATGGGGAGGGGGGAACGGCGGGGAAGGAGGGGGTAGTAGGTGGGGACGGGATTGGCGCACGGCGCGGAGGCCGAAAGAGGGAGAGGTCGACTGGGTAAATGATGAGCGTACGCCACTAGTTGTTGACTGGGCACGGCTATATGGTGGGGCGGCACGGCACGCACCTATGGTGGGGACGGTGGAGAGGATCTCCCCGATGTGCAGCTTGTACAGTATCGTCGTCTTGCCCGCCGCGTCCAGCCCCAGCATCAGCACCTGCCGCGCGTACAGGGCCAGGGAGGCACGGGGGGAACGAGGAGTGAGAGCGAGGGAGAGCGAGGGAGAGCGAGGGAGAGCAAGGGAGGGCGAGGGAGGGCGAGGGAGAGCGAGGGAGAGCGAGGGAGAGCGAGGGAGGGCGAGGGAGGGCGAGGGAGGAAGGGAAAGAGGGAGGGGAGGGGAAAGAGGGAGGGGAGGGGGAAGAGGGAGGGGAGGGGGAAGAGGGAGGGGAGGGGGAAGAGGGAGGGGCGACACGCGAAGCAAGTGAAGTTCTAGAGTTTCCTGCGTATTACTGTGGCGACCGCAACTACGCGTCTAAGTGACCGTTGGATGGCGGGAGCAGCACGACGAGAAGCGGGATGTGGCGGTAATGAGTGCGAGTGCGCGTGCACGTGTTGGGACGCGATCGCGAATTTAAAAAATGACGTGCGCCAAAGAGCTGTTCCGTTTTTTAACGCGCCTCAAAAGACGTGCACAAGAGAGTTGTTCCTGGAATTTGTTACGACAATGGCGCCTGCGGCTCCTCCTTTTGCTAAGTATCAAGGCGCCATTGTTGCAACAACGGAGTGGGGCCGAATTGAACGGATGCAAGAGCTAATGCTGGTAACAGATGGGCGTTCCACCGTGGTTCCCGCTCCCTACCCTCTTAACCTCAGTATCCATATCTCTCACAAACATCCGTTTTACCCGCACCGCCCGCTCACCCGCACCGCCCTCTCACCCGCACCGCCCGCTCACCCGCACCGCCCTCTCACCCGCACCGCCCGCTCACCCGCACCGCCCGCACACCCGCACCGCCCGCTCACCCGCATCTCTCGATTCCCGAACAGCGTGTCGAACAGCTTCCGGAACGCCTGCCCCATGCTGCCCGACCGCGCGACACCCACCACCACCACTCAAAGAGCCGCTACCCGTTGCCCGCTGCCCGGTGCCCGGTGTCCGGTGCGTGCTAGTTGCGAATCGATGCGACGATTCTGCACGAGCCCTACCCGCCGCTACACACCACGGTGTCCGCACGGCGACGCCGGCCCCCGCACACCAATTCGAGGAAAAACAGCTGCCGTGCGAGCCGGAACAGGGGACGGGACGCGCTCACGCGGGTTGCTGTTGGCCCCCCGCGAAGAAAGGGGGAAAGGCGGAGGGAGGAAGAAGAGAGAGACAAGGGAAGCGAGAGGGAGAAGGGAAGGTGAAGCAGGTGGATGTGACAACCCTCGTCGACGATATGCTGATCCGAGACCACCCTATAGTCGACCGCGTGAGTTTATTGCTTAAAGGTAGAGAGCGGGAGCGGGAGCGATCGATTGAAACAGACTAGCAGCTTAGAGACGCAACGGACGTTTTCTGA